ATTCGGTAATCCGGACTGCATTTCACAACCCATTGCGTATCCTATAATCCGGATTGATTGACCTATTTGACTCAAAAATCCGGATTGTAAAGATACGTTACTTTTTATTTTAATAAAAAAAAATCGTTGCAAATTTAATTGAAAATGGTACCTATTATATTCAAAGTTCATATTTTTGAAATGAATAATTTTCATTTTTAATAAAAACAATTAAATTATCACCAAATTAATATAAATTTAAACCAATTAATAAAACTCGATAATCCGGAAATCTCGGTAATCCGGATTGGGGTCTGCAATCAATTATCCGGATTAGCGAGTTTTTACTGTAATTTGACTACAGTTAATTGATTTCGGCATTGCCATATTAAAATTTGTTAAAGTCAGTTTTGTTTTGTGCATTAACAACACATAAAAACTGGGATAATGTACAAATTAATTCGAATTAAGGCTGTCGTCTACCTAGGCTTTATTATTTTTTATAATTAATTTGTCATGTACCCAATGTTTTATTAGAAATATTCCCATGCCTGTGTAAAAAAGGATTGCATCGGCCGGGAATCGAACCCGGGCCGCCCGCGTGGCAGGCGAGCATTCTACCACTGAACCACCGATGCTTATACAGAGGATTTAAAGATGCGCCTACACAAGAGCAATCCAAACTTCATTAGCCTTACTAAATTGAAAGTATTTTTGCTGATATAACACTTCTCCGACTGGAAATTCAGATAACAAGTAATCAAAAATAATGTATGTTTTTATTTCCTGATTATGTGTCGATCAGTAAATGGGGCTTGTTAAAAAAGGTAAAAACTGAAAATTTCTTCATTCTGGATCAAGATCGAATTTATTGTTCAGTTTATTTATTTTATTTTATTTTTTTTTTTTTTGCAAAAACGAAAACGACTGCAGTTTTCTTCATTTACAAAGGGGTTTTTTTTTGGCAAAAAAGTTTTCAAAAAATAAATCACTGAAGAATGATCCTCAAATTCAAATCAAATTTCGAAATCTTTCCCTCTTTTATTTGTTTGATAAGACCATTAAAACAATTTTCGTAAATGTATTGCCCGAAATTTCGATACCACAACATTCAGACATATCCTCAGAGTACACATGGTACAACTTTATGTACCTATAGGACCATTTTTTAACGACTTGCCTTACAACACATCTACGGATCAAAAGTAATACGTCCTTTCTTAACACTTTATATAGTCTCCACCCCAATTTGAAGTTTGTAATAAATTTGTCATTCCGTTTGCAACATCTCGAAATATTCACCTGAGCCCCCATAAATACATATTATCTTGACCAGAATAAAATTCTATGTCGATTTTGCCATGTCCATGACTGTAATCTTATATTTTGAGTTCTCATTGAGTAGAAAATCTCCACACCAAAAATTATCAATACTGATCGAAAGTTACGGTTAGCCCCTTACATTACTTTACTCTTCAATATTTGGTATTTTGAGGGGTTTAGGCACGTTTTTCAACCGAATTGGTTCTAATTTGTTTTTTTTTTCAGGTTCGAATGAGATTTCAAATCCTCATAAGGGTACCGAGTAATTTTGGGTATTTAGAACGTTTTAGCCGCATTATGTTTTTATATATAACCCCATATAAGGGTAACGTCCCATTGTCCATATTTTTAATGATTTTGTCACATTTTCTAATTGTAATAGCTGTAATATATTACACCGGGATATTGGAGGGTAAAACACAGGAAATTTTCTATTTTGTTCCAAGTTTAGGTATAGCCCCGCATAAATCGAGGTGGTTATAATTTGGAATACCGCTTTCCGGATGAACGAAAAACAGAAATTATTCAACATAGTTCAATGTTCTAAAGTAGACCCACAGAAATATCCCGTTTTCTATCTGTAGTGTCTGTAATTTTAAACATATTTTTTCATAGAATTAAGAATTATCAAGGGCTCGATTACATTAAAAATGTTGAATTCAATTCAAACCTCGTGGTTGAATTCTAACGTATAGTTACTGTACACTGACATCCAAACACTGTAAACGTATCAAATAAAATATACTGTACACATAGCGGAAGTAAATAACTATAAACCCTTTGCAAAACCGTTATTTGTGAGCCAATGTTTATCAAGCATCGGTGGTTCAGTGGTAGAATGCTCGCCTGCCACGCGGGCGGCCCGGGTTCGATTCCCGGCCGATGCAATTGACTTTTTCTGATTTTTAATGAAAAATAAATTATTGAAAAAAAATCAATGAATATAAAATTTAATTTGTGGCGAAATGTGTGAATCGTAGCCTATTTAATTTTTAATGTTTAAATTTTCCAAAAAAATGTCCCCCTTAATTTTTGTACATTTCGGAGAAAAAATACGAAAAAAGCCGAATCGCCCGAGCAGGGACTTGAACCCTGGACCCTTGGATTAAAAGTCCAATGCTCTACCGACTGAGCTACCCGGGCCTTGTCAGAACCTTGCATGATAATGTATTTGAACACTTACGGCTAGAATTGTTCTAGTTTAATAAAAGAAAAAAAACTAATTTCTAAATATTTATTTGTAATCATAAATTTACAGCCTGTTTTTGTAAAATTCTAAACGAACGAATTCGAGTGACTTACGACCAAACTCCTTGGTTTTGAAAAATATGTCATTTATTTTTGTTTTGAATCAAAAAATATTTGTTTACATAAACAAAGGTTTGGTCGTAAGTCACTCGAATTCGTTCGTTTAGAATTTTACAAAAACAGGCTGTTATTTTGTTGTGGTTGTTTTTTATTCAGCAAAGAGGTGTGCATGTGTGTACGTACGTTCGAACGTTTACTTAATTAATAAACAGAAAAATGCTAATGCTAGAAAAAACTTAAAATGTAAATGCTTGTGAATTGGTAATGTTTGTGTCATCATGTGTTGTTATACTTAAAATTAATTTATTATTAATTATATGTAATTTTATAACAAACAATTTAACTAAATATATATTTTCTTTAGAGTTATATTAATTACTAATATTAATTTTTTTTATTAGGAGAGCAAAGGATTGTTGTATTATTCTTTTAAGGGACATTTTTTATAAATTTTTTGTAAATAATTCTGTTGTGTATAGCACTAAAATGTTTTTTTTTAACCTTTCATAAGGGACCTTCATATTAAAAATAGCACAATTTTTATTTATGTTTATATTTTATTATTTATGGTTCGCTTATAAGATATTGTCCACTTATGATAGTTATCGTCGTGTGGGATTTTCCATCGCGTATATATTATTAGTCATTAAAATGATTTTAATTGGCACGGCATTTTAGTTGGAAATATTTGCATTTCCATCTTGGCACGTTTCTTATAATCAACAAAATAGGAAAAAAATAAAAATAAAAATTAGGCCATAGGCAATGAAACTGGCCATAGGTACCCTACACCACTACACACCCAAAAACGTGGATGATTGGTAATTTGGATTGCAAATGATTTTTTTCTATCGCAGCTGTCCCTGACTATTTCAAAACATCTTATAGAATTTATTATATCAGACATTTGCAACATTGGAGAATATATAAATTGACTGATGCAAAATATATAAATTAAAAATGCCTTAAATCGGCCCTTGGGTTCAGAGGTGAAATCAATTTAAAAGAACAGAATCTGCCCAGAACAATTTCTAATTTATCTACTCTTTAAAATCGAAACCAGATGTTTGGAAATTTTTATATAAGGTAGCAAATGGATTGTCCGGCAACTCAAATTCGGAATGAGGGTCACTGATGGTAGGGGACTTTTTTTTGAAAATTCGTAGAAATATTGATTTCAATAGTCCAGAATCTTCAAATCATTGTTCAATCAGGGTTTTTTTTAATTAATAAAAATAATTTTTGAATACATTTTGGTATTTTTTTAAACTTTTTTTAACTAAACATCTTGCAACCCTAGATCCTTGTTTTGTATTCCTCTCGACTTAAGGGGACCCCCCATTCTCGGGGTCGAAAATTTTGTTGATATAATTCGAATCTACACTAATTAAAGAATGTCCTTACAAAATTTCAAATGCAAATCTCAAGAACTATTGAAGATATAGCCGATTTATTGTGTCAGCATCAAGGGCTGAAAGCCTTCTCAAACTTTAAACACGTTTTTCTCTAAACATTTTGTTGCGAATGGCGGGCACGATAACTCAAAAACTAATAACCCAATCGACTTCAAATTTTTACACGTTTTTCTGTGAGTGTATAGCTATCGTATGAACTAGGATAAAGCCAATCGGTGAAGATCTTCCTTATTTTTTAACTTGGGTTTTGGTAAAAAATCGGCGATTTTCCAAAAATATTTTTTCAAATGTCCACCATTTTGTTAATTTTGGAGCAAAGTCAATAATCCTAGTTCATACGAGAGCCAGACATGTACTCCTTCTAACACCGTTGGAATTTTCGGATTCCGATGTTTCAGTGAGGAGTTATCATGCCCGCCATCAAAAATAAGGACTTTACTTTAATTACAAAAAACAACAACAAAACAATAACAAACATTTTGTGTAAATTATTTTTTTTTTCTTCTAATTTAAATCTTCAAGTATATATGTGTTAAGTTACAAACCTTAACAAGCATTGGTTTTGATTTACCAGCCCATTGAAAATCTTGAAAAAAAATCGTGAATGGGGGGGTTCCCTTAAATTATTTTTGCAACAATTTTCCATTATATTGGTCGATATATTCATATTCCTTACCATAGGGACCTTATTGTACCACACAATGTGTAGTGGTTTGTACTAAACCCATCTTTAAAACCAACGACTATTTCAACCTATCTATTAAAATTTACCGAATCAATATTATTGTTATAGTGATGTAGGATATGAAACAAAAAAATCTAATTATATTAAACATTTAAAAATATACTTCTAATTTATCAAAGGAAAATAAACTTAAAAGTAAACTTAACAAACAAAATATATAAAATGTTTTCCTTTTTAAGGTTATATTTTTCTTTACTAAAGTCTATCAAAAATTTTGTTTGGGTGCGCACGTTCACCTTAAGGATTACATCTGCATACACAGCATGATGGGAACAGGAACCAATCCATAAAGATTCCCTTACAATCATTATCCGGATCATAGGCCAGCAGACGATGCCATTTGTATTTTTGCTCACAGCCACATTCACCAATGCAACGGTGTGTGTGGGCTTTTCTGTGGGGAGAGGAGCATTAATAAAATTATTTAGAATTAGAAAAAATTAAAAATTTTAAATTTTAATATATTTTATATACTGGATTTTTATACTTACGAGCATATCTCTTGATGTATGGCTTGTTCAAAATGCTGCGTATTTACTATGGCCCTAATTTTGCCAGCAGAATTTGAGGCCCAATAGGGTGTGACAATTTCCACTTTCGATTCACAGGCATCCAATCTGTAAAGAGGAAAAAAAAAATAGAAAATTAAATGAACTATGGTAGAACTGGACTTATTTGAAATGTGATGCCGTTGTAACCATCCGAGATTCAAGGTAACTAAATATAATACAAGAACTTAAACTAATTGAAAAGGAAGACAGAATAAAAATAATTCGTATATTATATGAATAGTGTTCAGAATGTGTTGCCAATGTCCTGATTTCCGCATTTTATGAATACAATTCATAAAACTTTAAATACTGGTTTCATATCAAAGAGAGTGAACAAGGTATCTTGTGTGTGTTTGGTGGTGGCGGTTTTTTTTATAACAAAGAAACATATAAAGGATTCAACAACCTGGATTTTTCCCGATCAAACAACGATAAATCAAATCGAGCATGTTGTGATAGACGGAAGGCAGTCATCCAGTGTTTTAGACGTTCGATCGACCCGAGGAGCGAATATCGACTCGGACCACGAAAGCACTCCTTGTCCCGATAATAATATAGAAGCACAATGGCAAAGAATTGGAGTGTCGTGATGCTAATGATGTGTGAAAAAAGCGCAGCGTATAGGGCAACCATGCAGACAATACCAACACGTAATACGAAAGAGAATTATCGACAGAAAAGGAGAGAGGAGAAACGTATTTTTAGACAAAAAGGACGAATAAGAAAAACGTGAGCGGGAGCAAACCAAATGATTTGGTGCTGGCACATCCTCCTGTAGAGATGAAGAAGGAAACCTGGTGACAAATACAGGCAGAGTGTTGAGGATCTGGAAGTAGCATTTTGCAAAGCTTCTGGTACCAAATAGTGGCGTTGAAGAAGATACCCCAGAAACAATAAGAGATGATGGTTAGAGTTTATACCTAGCCAAGATGAGGTCATAAAAGCAATTAATCGGCTCAAGAACAATAAAGCAGTAGGAGCCGATGGGTTACCAGCCGAACTATTCAACACTGGTGGCCAGATGCTGGTCACCACCATTGACCAGATTTTCACTCTGGAAAAGACCCACGAAAAATACATCGACACATTCCAGATATTCGTCGACTATAAAGCCGCATTCGACAACCCTATCAGTTCAGAGGTGTTTAAAGTCATGTCTACGTTCGGCATTCCTGCAAAATTAATACAGCTATGCAAGATAACTTTAACTGTCATAAGATCAGCAGTTAAAGTACGAAAGGTCCTCTCGGATCCTTTTAATGCCGATCGGGAGTTCAATGAAGGTGACAGCCACTCGTGTGACCTTTTTAACCAGCTGCAAATCTTCAAAACTACAGCTTCGAGGTAGTCAAAAATTTTATATACCTCGGTACCGCCATAAATAAAACTAATGACATCAGTTTTGGAGAAGGATAGTGTTGGCCAGCAGATGCTACTATGGTCTATGTAAGCAATTTAGAAACATCCGATCCGAAAGATCTATGAATATCGATGTCGAATGAACCATGAGTTGTACCATTTATTCGTGGACACCGACATAATCAGACGTATCGAAGTACGACGACTACGTTGGCTAAGTCATGTCGTGAGAATGAATGAGGATGCTCCATCTCAAAAGGCATATAAAAGCGAGGCAACTGATAGTTCACGCAGAAGGAAAAGACCACGAATTCGATGTAAAGATAAAGTGGAAGACAACATCTCGGAACATGGTCTTTCAAATTTAAAGGCCGACGCGCCTGGAAATCTTTCATAAGCTCGGTTTATGGAACAAATGTTCTGTCACAACCTAGCTAAAATAAAATGGAACGACCCTTAACACAAATCCCAGATCGTTCGAGAATGGATGCCTTATAATTTTCCAAAAGTGATTCAAACAACTCCTCAATAGTCGGATTTGAATCCTATAGAGGACTTTGAACAAGCACACCTAGTTTTAAAAATGCTTTACAAGGAGAATTCAGACCTGCCAACTCTCTGCCGGCATGGTTAAAAGCTGGAAAGGATAACAAGGGCTATCATACTAAGTATTAACCAAAAACAATTAATTCCTTGATTAACATGCACTTATGGCATTTTTATTACAAAAAATCAAGTGGATACTTTTTACTGCGACTCACTGTATATACTTTGTGGGTCTCCGACGATTTTTCTATGTGTTTGCAAGTGAAAAGACCACCTTATGATAAAGGGTATAAAAATGTGCCAATTTTAACTTACCTTCCTGTCGGCGAAGCCTGTTGACCACTCCTCGGTCCCGTCTGCTTGGCATTTCGATTACCCTGATTATTGTTACGATTTCCCTGATTCTCAGCCTGACGTTTATTACGCAGCTTGCCAAAATAACTTTCACCATGTTCCTCGTCATGTGGTTCGACCTCATCATCGGGCACAAATGAAGGATATGCACCAGGTGGTAGGAAAATATCGGGTTCATCAATAAAACGCCTCCTACGCTTCTTCGTCTGTTGCCGTGGGCCACCATCGTCCATGTTCATTTCAAAATCACCATACATTCGTCGCATCAGCGCCTTATTGTCATCAATGAAACGTTCAATTTTTTCACTGCAAAAAGAAACAAAATAGACATGAGGAAATGCAAATAAATATATTTTTTAATTACGATAATATTTCATAAAAATTGTCTCGTTGTTTTTTTTAATTCATTAATAAAAATGCATTGTTAGTAAACAAATCAGCTTAAATGATATTCTTAACACCTCTACGACAGACGCCTTCACTGTTTCTGAGAGCAAGTTCGTCGTCGTACCGTTCGCACATATTATTCAAAATAATAATCTGTCAAGAATGTTAAGTCTATGCCGTTGGAAGGTGATTACACATCAACTTTATGAGGTCTCAAATGCATATTTAATAAATTAATTGTAGCTTTTCTTTAATTGCTGTCATTGAATTTAAAAAAATAATTGTTGAGTGTTATATTTTTTTGCAAATGTGTAACATGATATGTGAAAACTAGTTGGGGAGGTGAGGTACTTGGAATCGGATATGGAGTATTAGTGATATTGAAGAAAAATCAAAACGAAATATTTTTTGGAACTATATAAACAATTTTTACAAACAATGCAGTGTAGGCAGGGTCCCTCCGAAAATATTTTTTTTTTTTTTTGTAACAGAGAAAATTTTATTTTACACCAGCGCACCAAAATTAGAACCGATGACTTGTATAAAATTGTTTATTTTTCGTGGATATATCTGATACCCTATAATAACCTCCTTTGTATTTCAACATATAATATTTTCTCATCGTCTTTCTATTAACAATGACCTCTGACAGAATTAGTGTCACTTATTTGGCCATAATATGACTGCACATGACAATCCCTTTCACTAGAATATTGGCAATATGTAGATATGTCACAATATGTTTGTGATTTCACACAAAAGATTATTATCGTGTGGTTGTTGTTCTTTTGTTGGTCACTTATTCTCACCCTCTCTAGCATAATACTAAGAAGAATCGAAAGCGAAAAAAAGCACTTGTGTGCTTGCTTTGCTAATATTTCTCTTTGGCCAGCGCACATTCTTTCTAAATATAGAAAGCCTTTCACTAATTTGCTTTATGGTTTGCGAAAAATAATTGAAAAATTTTTATCGATGCCGAACCGTTCGAAGCATCGGTGGTTTAATGGTAGAATGTTCGCCTCCCACGCGGACGGTCCGGGTTCGATTCCCGGCCGATGCAGATTTTATAGGATTTAAGGACTTTTATCCTTCTCTTATCACTTTCCCGTGGGTAATTCATAACTTCAGTGCAATTTAGATGAAGTATAATTCTCATTGAAGTTATCAATTGAATGAATTATAATCACGTTGAGATGTTGGAGGGTGGTGTGCCTAGGTGATGGCAATTGCAAAATTAGTAATATCGCCCGAGCAGGGACTTGAACCCTGGACCCTTGGATTAAAAGTCCAATGCTCTACCGACTGAGCTACCCGGGCTACCAAATATAGTAATCGGATTAGAAAAAAACCTACTTTAATAATGGAAGGCACAAAATCGATGGTAAATGAAAGATCGGTCGATTAAATGACTCATTAAAATTTGTGGAAATATAAACTTCACAAAATGGAAGAGTAGGAGGATTTTAAAGCTTACAATTTTCTTCCTTCCTTCCGATTAACCATTTCCTTCTATGACCTCTTAAATGTATACCTCCTTGAAGTAGGTAATGCTATGAGTAGGGTTTCTGTTTACGGGAAAAAGTATCTACCCTGACTTTTCAAATAAAACACAAAACAATATTTTTGAAGGTTCACAAAATGGAAATTGATTTGAGCAGGTTCGTGTTTCAACGTACCATTTTTTATATTGGGAAATAGGAAATAATTATTAATATTGAACTTTTTGAAGATATCACTGGTAGACGTCCATTCTTCCATCGAATATTTTTTCGACTATATTTAATGCAATTGTCGTCGTCATCATTGGACGAGACAGTCCACTGAACGAATGGACGACATAGTTCAATGTATATTACTGTCGTTTATGAACGATTTTATTTACAAAACGTCGTCGATCACTGAACAGAATTTTGTTTTACACCTTCAGTGTCGTTCAGGGTTGCTCTGGCTTTGACCAACTGAAATGCGTCAAAAAAGATCAACTTCATGTAAAATGTGATAAATTGAAAAAAGGCACTCGGAAAATTAGTCAATTGCGGTGTTCAAAAGACCAAATGCAAATACCTCAGTAATGTTTAAGCATAGCTACGGGGACAATAAATAATCTGAAGCCACATTTAAAAGGATAGCAGCCATTTGCTTTAATTGACTCCCAAAGACAGCCCGTAGAAGGGAGCTGGAAACCCCAGAAGAAGTGGCTCAGGTTTCCGAACCAACAACTGCAGTTAAAACAAATGTGGAGCCAATTATAACGGAGTGCAGAAAATAGATAGTCAAGGTCTTCGAATGATTGGGAAAGGCCATCATCCTTTGCGGCTGATGGAACTGGCAGCTTAAATGCAATACCAATTGTACGAGGTGAACGACCTAGTTCAATTACCAAGTTCGTTCGATCGCTTTACTGAACGAAATTGCCCAAGACTACCATTGATATCTCGATATGCAAAGAGTTTCCATAATATTTTAACAATGATTCTGCAGTTCCATTCTTATTTATCTTTCACAAAGTAACTTCTGTATATAAAATATCTCCATACGCCCGAGCAGGGACTTGAACCCTGGACCCTTAAATTAAAAGTCCAATGCTCTACCGACTGAGCTACCCGGGCTGATAAGCAATATCGGGAGTAATATCTAAATTTGTGGAAAGGTTTTTGGCAACAATTTGCCAAATATTCTTTAATTTCAGATTTTGAATATTTTCTGTTAGTCAATTAAAAATGTTGATCATGTTTCCAAATATTGGACTAACTTCTAATCTGGGTTTTCATATATAAATAAATCTAGGCTGTATAAAATTAAATATAAAAATATATTTCCGCCCGAGCAGGGACTTGAACCCTGGACCCTTGGATTAAAAGTCCAATGCTCTACCGACTGAGCTACCCGGGCTCATAATTTGGTCCAGCTTTTATAATCACAGGATGCGATACAGGTTGTACTATTATATTTTATAATTAATTTCATAACTCGATGTTCCCCCATAATTAAAAGTTTTCTTCGGGATTATGGTGGTTGGTTTCAGTTATGGAAGTTCGACTTCTCCGATCACAAATTACCTATAAATCCTGAGTATATAACCATGGAACATTTTATAGCAGCATATTTCAGGATGTGCTATAATTAAAAGTTAATAAATTCGCCCGAGCAGGGACTTGAACCCTGGACCCTTGGATTAAAAGTCCAATGCTCTACCGACTGAGCTACCCGGGCACATAAAACACGTCCTTAGTAAAGTTGGATTGGTTTGTATTTTTCACGTCGTACTCTTCCGTAATTCTGATTTGTTTTACTACAGTGTTGTCATATCCACACTTAGACAACCAGTCCGCCCCGCCATCTCTTGAAATTGTACGTTATTGATGAAGTTCTTTATATCCAAGGTAAAGCAAAACATAGGTTTGACAGAAAAAATATAAAGTCCGTTAGAATCTAATAGGTTTTGTGTCCTTTCGAAAATTCTTAAGGTGATTCTCTTTTTCTTTGATGAACCTGAAATTTTGTGTAAAGGTTCTCAAAGCAAAAATGTTTGTGAGGATTGTCATCGTCAGTATTGCGTATATTTGTAGCAGTGTTCGTTATAACCAAATTAAAATGTATGAAAATTGAATGTTGGTACCGAATTTACGCTGCATCCGTAAATTCGCTATAATAGTAAATATTTGTATGAAAAATATGTATAAAAACTTTGGCACCAGGAAAAGTGTTCGCTATAAATTAAATTCATTATTAACGGTATTCATTATAAGTGTACTCGACTTTCTTCTTCATTTCCCTAATTGTGGTTCTTTTAGAAATGGCTCAAGCCAATAATACTGCTAACATTCGCACATATTTTCCATCAATTTGTCTTTAAGGCTGGATTTTTATAATAGTATTTGATGTGATCTTTTTTGGATTTCCCTTCAACACACTGATTATAACAAAGTACCGTTATCAAGCATCGGTGGTTCAGTGGTAGAATGCTCGCCTGCCACGCGGGCGGCCCGGGTTCGATTCCCGGCCGATGCAACTAACGTTTTTTATTATAAAAACTATTTTATAATTGAAATAAAATCGGAGAAATTTTGGCTGAGTTGAAACCATGGAAAACAACAAAGACTTAATTCGGACTTAAATGTAGAACTAGAATTAGCTGCAGCTAATTTTATACGATTCACCTTCCGACATTAGATTGTTTCTAAAAATATATCCGCCCGAGCAGGGACTTGAACCCTGGACCCTTGGATTAAAAGTCCAATGCTCTACCGACTGAGCTACCCGGGCCATGAAGGAATTATCATGTCGGTTATCATTTTTTTTTGAAGAAAATAAAACGTTCTTGGTGTTTAAATAGTCTATTTGGTACACAATGTCAGAAAATCAAATCAGATATTAAATATGAAATTCGGTATTTAGATTATACAGCTTATTTCCCGAATACTTTTCTTGAGCGAACTTCCACAATCAATCGTGGAAGGTTGCTTACGGATGTGATTGAAGCAATGGCAATTTCTTCCAACATTGAAGTGTCGAGACAACAATTCCAATAAAACAATTTTAAACTGAATTATAATCTTCAGGGACAGCTTTCCACATTATGTTAAATTTGCTTCTTACCTTTAATAACCGGGGATATTTAAGTAGAATCACAAAGAATACATTTCAAAATCTAAGATACAAATTCATACAATTATCTGACTGACATCGCTTCTAAGAATCTACTATATAGCATCGGTGGTTCAGTGGTAGAATGCTCGCCTGCCACGCGGGCGGCCCGGGTTCGATTCCCGGCCGATGCAGTTCTACTTTTTAATAGTCAATCCATGATTTAGAATATCTCTTGAATCTACAAATAGACTTCAACTTCTTGACCAAGCTTTTGTGATTATATAATGTTCAAGATAACATTGACATCGAATTTGGGATAATTTATAAAA